ATGTGACTAATAGCTAAAATGTAGTGACCTTAGCTCTCCTCCAACAACTGTTCAATATCTAGGCCCTGAGGATTCATTTCACCACTGTGAGTTTTTTTGTACTCACAAAGAACTCCTTCTTGCTGTACAGAAGAGGAATAAAAATCTTGAAAAGACAGGGCCATTAATGATTAATGATACACATTTAAAATTAAAAAAATCACCAAGTTGAAAACGTGTTTCCAGTAAAATTTTATTTCAAGTGCTTTTACTCCTTTGTGAGCTTTACTAGTTTGTGGTAAAATGCCTAAGGTTTATTGACTTCAATTTGTCAGCTAAAATTATTATTATTTTTAATGTTCTATTGCTAATATTCCTCAAAAATCTGACTGCTCAGTGATGAGAGAATGGAAAAGGGAAATAAAGTGCTAGCTGATATGTTAAAGTTAGTGAAAGGGCTGAGTGGGTAGTGAAACTGAAGATGCGAGTGATTTAAGCCCATTACGCTGGGTGACTGTACAGCACAGGTACTGCTGCAACTCATAATCAGTAATGTTCAAAATTACTGGTGATTCCTTTCTCAGGTCTTTTTTCCTATGAGCTTAGCTCATTTCACTGTCTGCTACCCTGCTCCCAAATCATGCTTTCAGCTGAAAGGCTGTATAAAGGAAGATGGCATTTGAAATGGCTAGCTGATACTTTACATTGACAAACGTAGCATGCAAATGGATTTGAAAGCTCAATAAAAAAGGTTCCAGTGAACTTCTGTCCAAAACTTGGACAGTATGTCATTGAAGAGAAGATGTACTAGGAGCTGCCTGCTGTGGTGAAGATGCTTTACTGGAAGGGCAAACCTAGGTCACGTAGTTTCTTCTACTGTCCTCAGTACAACATCTCTCTGTGTTTGGGTTTGGATCCCAGCACTGGACCCACCAAACAGATCCAAGGTAATTCTTCCCTATAAATAGTTCTGGATTTGGGAGTGATAGGTGGCTTTTCTTTTCAGTGTACAGGGGACTGACAGTGGTTCACCACTTAGCTGAAATAAATGAAAAGTTACATTAGCTGCCTTTGGCACTTGTGAAGTTGTCCGCCCTTCTCCATCAAGGGGCAGAAGTCTGTTCTGCTGTAATGCTTGGTGGATATCTCGAACAGATGCTGTTCACCCTTTACTGTCACAGTCACGTTTTGTGGACAATTCTAAAAGTAAATGCTTCATCTTCTCTAATCTTCTGGGAATGGGAGATCTTTAGAGACAATTTTAAATCAGCTTGGAGATGTATACAAAAAGATCCAGAAAAGACAGAGACTATTATTGACTGCTGATTTTGGCTTGAATGTATCTTCAAGGCTTAGTCTGTCTATTTAGTTCTCAGGAATTATTTTTCTTTTCTTTTTTACTTCTTTTTTTTTCCTTTTTTTTTTTTTTTTTACTTCTTTTTTTTTCCTTTTTTTTTTTTTTTTTACTTCTTTTTTTTTCCTTTTTTTTTTTTTTTTTACTTCTTTTTTTTTCCTTTTTTTTTTTTTTTTTACTTCTTTTTTTTTCCTTTTTTTTTTTTTTTTTACTTCTTTTTTTTTCCTTTTTTTTTTTTTTTAATTTTTCTAGGCATGCAGGATCATTTACTGATGCTGGTGAGAGGATAACAGAATGAGATGAAGCTACCACTGACTTATATTATAGGACTGAGGGATTGCTGGTAGTTCCCACTAGAAGTCAAGAGTTTATCAGCAGATTATGGGTTAATGGGAGGCAGCAGCCAAACCACAGGGTAGGAGAGAATAGAAAAAATATATCAATGAACATTCAAACATGAATGTTTTTAGCCGTTGTCAGTGAATGTGACAGCTGATGTGTGAGACAACTGATTCAAATGTAGTTATAGAATCCATTGTTTTCTTTGCTTTTTCCCCCCAAAGAAAAGGAAGTACGCTATTAACAGTGCTATACAGTGCGTTTAAATACAATGTAGAAGTTACACATATTGTATTTAATTTTGAAAATTTAGATTTAGAAATCTTGAATGAGAAATATAAAACCCCTTCACAGGTCTCGTTCAAAATGCAAATTTATGTCTCCCAGGGCCAGTGGAACTTAAAGTATAAATACAGTCTGTATTTAGGGAATTTTAAAAACACATATTACTGAATTGATAGAGCATAACAGTTCCCTTGCTTAGGCAGCATTATGCTCTATCTTGTAAAATGTACTTGGGGACATGTAAAACGGTTTATTAAACCTACAGTCCATAACTAGAGTTGTTACATTTTAATGTATATATTTTTCATTCATGGATTATTGAACCACTAAATCCTAACAATTTGTCCTCATGCCAAACAATTTCTTTGAGTATTGTTCTGAGTCTTTTCAGGAGCTATGTAACTGTTGGTACATACCTCAAATCCTCAAATTGTAAAGCTATTTTTCAGTGCCCGCCCGAATACAAGTGTACATTTAAAAGGAGGCAAGGAAGGAAGTTTCTCTTTCCTTTCACACAAAATCCATGGGGTATTTCTGAGTGGGAGATCTGCAGTTTTGGGGAGAAAATTCTTGAATGTAAGGTGTTGTCTATAACCATGAGGGAGGTATATGAAAAGAAAAAAGGAAAATACCTATATATTCCTTTGCATGCAGCATTTTTTCTCAAAACTTGGGGATGGCTTGCAAGAGAGTGTCTCTCTCCCTGCTTTTACATGGCATATTGTTCTTTCATGCTAGTGAAAAGTATGCAGAATTTATAAAAAAGCGGTGATTTAAGGCTAATAAGTATGCCAAATGATTTCAGGATATTAGGTTTGGACTCTATTCGCCTGCCGTTTTCTTCCACTGTTATTAGAAATAACACTAGGGAAGAAGCTGAACTACAAAGACCTGAAAACTAGAAAAGTAACATCTGTATATTTTCCAAGGCCCCAGATAAGTGACACTTATACTACATAAAAAATCTTTATTGATTTGAAACACCTCATTGCTATGTAGTACCAATGGCTCTCTTACAAACACATATCTAGGATTTGTTATTTATCTCATGCCTGAAGAGAAACAGGAACTGAGGAAGTCAATGGGTATAACTCTGTGGACTAGACTTCAAGATTTTCAGTGACAAAATATCCATCTAACTGGTGTTGATCTTATGAACATTATTGATAAAATAGTTTTCAGCAAAGCAGCAATGCCATAGTATTTGTGAAATGAGTAAAATGAGTAAAATCACAGAGGTTGGCTTTATTTTTTTTCTATCTGGAAAAAATGACTAGTTTAGATAGTAATAGAGCAAATTTAGAAAGGGAATGATGTGTGCTCTAAATGTGCATAATTGTGTTATTACAGGCCAAAATCTCTTGTCTGTAAAGAGATAAAGATGATTCAAATGTTTCTGAAAGAAAGGGAATTTATACAAGGCAAGTTTTGTACGGACAATTTATCCTTTATTTTTACTTGGTGGATCTTTGCTGTGTTAGGAACACCGATTTCCATGATATGTAACCTTTAGCTTATTTTTTCTGCGATCCTCCCTTTCTTTTTTTTCTGTTCTCTCTGTTTTCTATTATTACAACATTTCAGATTATTTATTCTAAGGCGTTTCCATGAGTAGAAAATTTCTTGAAGAAGAATATAACCAAAATATATAAGAGTTTATTTTGTTTGCTTCTGACTGAGCAACGATTTTGCCATCCCTTAGGCTATAAACTGTTTATTCAGGCTGTAAGAGTCTATGCTGTCTTTGCAGGTATGGTTAACGACCATGACCATACCTCTTTGAATCCCTGATATTTGCCTCAGATCCCTTCTTTAATTTGTGCTGATGAGGAAGCACTGTACAGGGTCTAAGGGTTGCCCTGAAAGCTTCTGCTATAGCATCAAATACGACAGTGAGCATTTACCAGATCACCTGTTATCTGGAACTGATAAATTTGGTCCTCAACAGAATCAATTTAGGAACTCTGTTCAGATTGCTTTCTTGAAGACTCTTTTATGTTTTGTAAGATGTGAATTAACCACCTATTATTAATATAGATTCGAAAAACAATGCAATATTTGGAGTATATTTCATTTCAAGCTAGTGACTATTTAATCAGTTTTACCATTTGAAATGAGAAAATCATTCCTCTTTTAAGTTGTCATAAATGTTAATTAATTTTTCTTGCACCCAAATACTCTTCAGAATAATTGAATATTGCTTACAGATAGCTTCTTCTGGACATTGCCAAACCATTTATTTTGAAAACAGTTAATTGAAAATCACCTCTTTTTTTTTTTCTTTCTTTGAAAACAGTAATTTATTTTGGAAATGTATTTTAGTTATTTAATGGGGGGGTTTGTTGTTTTTTGTTTCTTCAAAGAATATTGTGATGGTTTCTACAAACATTGCCATCCTTGAAACCTTACTTCTCTATATGTATATTTTTTACAGATAATTTTTTTGGGTGTTTTTTCATCAGATAGCTTTTGGTATTAAATGTCCTGAAATCATGCACAACACTGTATTAAAACTGGAAAATGAAAAACCCATGGCAGCGAAAGCTTGAAAAAAGACAGCTTGAAAAATAGGAATAAAATGGGAAAGCATAGTTGCATGCACGTAAATAACCAAAACAATAAAATGGAAATAATCTAAATTTTACTCGTCAAATTTAAGTGCAGTGTTTTTAAGAATTACGGTCATAAAAACTGACCTTTTCATCTTCTGTAGTAATAGTAAGAATTCCTTCTTTTTTTTTTTTTCTTCACCTGTTCCTATCAGAGCCCAGATCAAAAAAGTTGTTGTTACACTTACATGCCAAAATCATGATACCTGGAGAAAAGCAGAATGCATTATTTCTTGGTGAGAGTGTTATACAATAAGATTTGACTGACATTTTACAAAATCTGAGATGCTTTCTGATCAGTTGATTTAATTAAAACAAGATATTCAGTTCTGCACAATGCTAGTGCATAATCTATTTTAAGCCTTTCAAGTGTACAAGTATGTAGTGTAAAATAGTATTAGATTGGCTTGAATGACTTGTCATTCTATTTGCAGATACCTCAAATCAGCTATGCATCTACAGCTCCAGAACTGAGCGATAACACCAGGTATGACTTCTTCTCTCGAGTGGTCCCACCAGACTCCTACCAAGCACAGGCCATGGTTGACATTGTGACGGCCCTTGGGTGGAACTACGTGTCGACGCTGGCTTCTGAAGGCAACTATGGAGAGAGCGGCGTAGAGGCATTCACCCAGATCTCCAGAGAAATTGGTGAGTGTATGTTTATCAGGTTTTTTATTTGTAGCTGCTGGGTTACAGACCATCGCTGAGCTCTGCCTAGGTCTACATAGGGTGATCGAACACTTACTTGCAGGAGTGTTACCCGGACTCAGTGGAGGGGGTTACGGGTGATTTTGCTGCTCACACATCTGCCAAGGTGACAGTTCTGGCAGTAATTTAAGAAGAGATTTTGAGTGGCAAAAAATGTCTGCCTCTTGCCCCCTTTGGAAAGGGGAAGCTCCTTGATGAGTTAGGGCCAAAAAGCAACCACCGGCTAAATTACAGCCAGATTCGAGGAGATGCAATGATTGATTTAGCTTAGGAAAATCATAATCCTATGAGACCTCATTGTCCATGTCCCAGAACTGATAAATAAGGGGGTTTTAACTTTGATGAATTTGAAAAACAACAAAAAATCTGTGAAGTACAAAGATACACCCTTGTTTTTCCTTCAGGATGTAATGTGCTGTATAAATACAGGCATTATTATGGGAAGTATATTTAAGTCCCTTTGATCGTTTGTTTTTTCACACTTCCATAGTTATTTCTGGACTGAAAAAATGGCTGTTTCTCAGGAGCAGTAGGTTTTGGACACCAAGGAGTAAGATGATGAGTAGCAGGTGGCTTGAAAGGAGTGGAATTGTTCTTTCACTAAGTACAGTGTTAAACGACACAAAGTAATATTCTTTTAAAAGAATAAAAATAATTGCAAACAGCTTTCCTGCCTTTCCTCAGAAAGTCTGGATTAATCTACTCATTTGACTTTCGGGACACATACATATGAACTCAGGTTCCTTCAAGTCAGCCTGAGTGAGAAAATATGACAATATCTTCCATTTTCAATAACTGCATGTGAATATAGAGACCATCTCAATCATATAGGAAGGTGCATATGTCTCAGGTACTTATGCTTGAACCATAGAGAGTACTGGTTACTCATAACAATTTGGCAGCGAGACAAAACTGCTGCAATCCATGCCATTAGGGAACTAGTGTGTAGAATATGCTCAGTCAGTTAACTAATAAATACTCCGTTTCTAGCTTCTAAACAATGCTGTCATATCCTAGATGTCTTCATGGGAGAGCCAAGGCTGACTACAATGCAATAGTTTGATCTGGAGTTTGCAAAGGCATGGATAATTCTTCCACAGTTCATATCTAGAAGAGGGGGTTTATCTATTGTGTCAAATACAGCAGTGAATAGATTGGCTGCCCCAGACATTCACTGAGTAGTTCATTGGCTGAAAATCACTTTTCCTTGAAACCGCCTGCAGCCCAGCTAGTTCTGCTGAGTCCTGAAAGTAGACAAATAAAGTGCTCAGCAGGTGATGGAAAATAAGGTTTTCAAATAGACAAATGTCTTTTCAGAAATTTGGAGGATCAATTTTTCATTGAGGTACGGTTTATGTGAACAGAAGGAATCTCCAGCATGATTCCATTTAGATTTGGAGAAAGCCCCTTTTAATGTTTAGAGCATTAGACCAGTTTGCCTGGGGACATTTTGGAGCCTCCATTGCTGAGGATCTGGGAGAATGCATTAGACAAACACCTGCTCAGGGATTGTATAACTGTACTTAGTTCTTCCTTGCGGCTAAGGGGTGGATAGGATGATTTCTTAATGTCCCTTCCAGCCTGATTCTATTATCCGCTGTCCTCAGACTTTTCACCTGAACCATAGGGCTGGAAATGTTTTTAAAATGCAAAGTTTGAATAGCATGTAATTATGAGCTCTAAAATTATAGAGTCTAGGTAGGTTTATAGAAATCTTCACATAGTGTAAGAATGCATACCAAATAGCAAAACTTCCCAGCTCTATGTTAATAAACTGTGTGTTAAGAGAACCTAATCAGGACATTGCTCTCCCTGTGCTGCTGGCATACAAATGCATGGGACAGTTCAACCCTTTTCTGGGTACTTTACGTCCTGTTTGAGATAAGTAACCAACAACTGGAAGCAAAATATATGTGAAGATAAGCATAATGGAAAGCAATGCATTTGACTAAAGGATGCAAAAGAAATTGATATATTCATTTCTGATAAAAGTTCAGTACCTGAGAGGACATGTGAGATAGCAGTTTTGAAAATATAAATAGGAAAACTTGGTAGGGTTTTTTTTGTATGTTTGTGTTTGTTTGGGTTTTTTTGTTTGTTTTTTGTTTTGTTTTGTTTTGTTTTCTCCAGTCAGTTAAGAATTAAGAAGGGTTAGGGTTTTAAATATTTTTAAAATAGAGATTAATTTAATGTACTTATAATTTCAGGTAGTTATTTGTTGTGAGCTTGATTCTTTGCCTCTATTTTCCAGTTTGACTGGCCCTCTGTTAAACTTCTTTATCAGTAACAGAAGCAGAAAGGAAGGAACAGGCTCCCCCATGAAATGTGGAATACTGAAAAGGTCAAAGTGGTGCCACTCTGACATGTCACAGAATATATTACATATCAGAATCTGCTCTCATTTTAATGACAAAGATCCTGTCTGGGAAAAGCATAGCTGGAAATTAAATATTTTACATGACAATGATTGTAAGGAGAATAGGGAATGGTACTTATTCCAATGCATTCTTCCATGCATTATTTTTTGAAGACAATGATTAAATTTATAGAATTTTCTACTCCCATTACAAAGTTAATCAATGATACCACTATAATAACTTTAGTACATTGGCCAAAGGAATGGATTCGTACAAAATGAGAATGCTTAAGAGTTTAAGCATTAAACTGACAGAAACTTGACTCACCAATAGAAACTAAAAAAGGGAAAAGAAGGAAGCACATTTTACCAAGTCCTCATTAAACTGTCATGCTGAATATTGCTCTTCTATTTACTTTGCTGTTAATGATGTTTGACAAAATAAATGTTGGAAAGTCTCTAATCAGACTTCTTTTAATGGTTCATTCCCCCTGCTATTAGATACCAAATGAATTTACCATCACAGAGAAAATAATGGGATTCTTTTCACTTTTTACAGAATACAAAAACAGTTGCCTCAGAAAAATCTCTTTGGGGTCAGAATACTTGCTCAGCTAGTACTGGAAAATATAACAAATCCAGAAATAGTGTATGAAATGCTATGTGACAGATTTGATCCCCACTAGTGGTCAACAAAAAATTGACACAAGGACTGATGGGTACTGGCAGTGAAACACTTATGAAACTATCAGAAGAGGAAGTAGAAGTGATAAAGGCAGGGAACTGTGGCTGGTCTTTGGGAACAGGTGAAGAACTTCAGCATTGCTTGCTCCCTTTTCACCTTGTAAGTCAGTCTTGCATGTCTTGCCAGGGGTGTAAAGATGACAGCAAAGAGGTTTTAGGACCAGATCTTTGAGCCAAAATGACATAACTTCATAAACGCTTTACCCCAGAATAAAAGTGTGTACTTAATATCATTGTGTATCCTTGAAACCTTTTCTTTAGGAACAGAGTTTTGTAGTTTTACCTACTCCCTTTATCCTGGTACGTTGCAGTCAATAACATTTTTCTGAGAAGGGACCACAGATACCTTATGATCCTTTGTAATATTTTGCCATTACAGTCACATTGGTAACTAGTTGTAATGAATACATACACTGAATGAATGCTACAGTAGCTTTATTTAAATTGTTTCAGACTTCAGCATAGATAGTTCTGTTTTGTTTACATGGAGAATGGTCTGTGATATTTCTTCGACATTGTTCTTAGGTCATCTTTTGTCTTGATTTTTTTTTTTGTGTCTACAGTTGTGCATTGTATCTCTGTTTTTCTCTAAATTATTGGATTACTTCTTACCTTTAATATCTTTTGGACGTCTAAAGCTTTCAATGGATAAAACGACAGTTTAGTGGGAAGTAGGGAGGAGGGTTGAGCACAAAAATAACACGTAAGGGTGTGTAACCTTTCATCTCCACTTAGATTATTTATGGATAATTTAGAAATAAATAAGATGGATTGTTGTTAAGATTAATTCGCATTTACTGCAGTAATCTTTGTATACCTTTGATATAAAGCTAAAGCTTTTTATATCTCGTTAAGTAAGCTGATGAATAGGCTTGTGTGTGTGTGTGTCCCCAAGATGTTATTTAATACAAGATTAAAAAACCTTGCAATGTGAAGACTGAAGAAATGTACATGAAATGTAACCTTTTTCCCCGAGATATTTCTGCTTTAAAGGCTGGTTTCAAGCTTAACAAATTGATTTTCACAACTAATAATATTCTAACATATCCTCACAAAGAAGAAACAGTTTAATTCAATTTTAAGTTTTACTTTTATATTTATACAGCTGAACTCTATTGATAACACTGTATTTCAAGCTGCAAGCTGTAATTAATAATAACACTATATAATTGGGTACCGGAGCTTCAAAGTAATGTTTGAAAAATTACAAAATCAGATGGTAGGTGTATTAATATTGCAAAAGCTTGAATATTATCCTTGCAGTTTTTAATATTTATACCAATTAGTACCTGATAGCGAACAGTGTAATTTTTAGAGATTTATAATGAAGGACTATTTTAATTTCTCTCAGTGGTGCTAATCAATATGATATTCTTCAGCTTTAATTCTATGGTATTTTTCCCCTGTAGTTTTAGGGAGGTGTCTCAGAGCAGTGAGCATACCGTGGTACTTTTCCTGGTATGTTCTCTGACCCTCCAGTGATTGTTAGAAGAGGGACTTCTTTATCTTTAATAGCTCTTAAGGGGTTTCTTCTTCAGTCAATTAGTTGAGGCACTTTTTAAACCTTCTGTAGAAATCTTGCTAGGTATTGGAAAATGTACTAGTGGAAGAGGTGAGGGGGGGAGGGATAAGGCAGAAAACTTCTGTAGAACTGGGTTTTATACCTGCCCCAAAGAATATGGGACTGTATAGACAAAAGTTATATAGCCAGTCTTGCTTCCTTAACTAGTGTGGCACAGAGTCACTGACGAACTTGAAAGAGTTATATTCTGTTTGGATTTCTTATTCTGTGTCCAATTCAAGCAATAATATCTCTCATAAGAGTGCTTTTAAGGTAATA